AACAAATAACAGCTGTTATTGTCCATCCGTACATCTGTACATCCCATTCTCATGACCACAATATCTCCAACGCCTTGATGGCATTTTGTCAGATTTGGCACGAACATCCAGTTGGACTCAAGAGTGAACTGATTAGATTTTGGTGGTCAAAGATCAAGGTCAATGTGATTTCATAAGACATGAATGTGATATCTCCAGAACACCTTAAGGAAATTTCTTCAAATTTGGCACAAACGTCCACTGGATGCAGCAATAAATTGATTAGATTTTGGTGGTCAAAGGTCACCATGACCTCACAAAACATGTTTTTGTCCATAACTGAAGAATTCATGCACTAATTCTGACCAAACTTGACCCAAATGTCTAACAGGATAAAATAATGAAGGTCAAAAGGTATCTCAAGAACACCTTGAAGAATTTTTTTCAGGTTTGGCACAAACATCAACTTGCATTCAAGGGTGAAGTGATCAGAATTTGGTGGTCAAAGGTCAAGGTCCCTGTGATCTTGTGTCCATCTCATTCACATTGAGGCAGTATCTCAAGAACATTTCGAGAGAATTTCCTCAAATTTGGCACAAACGTCCACTTGGACTCAAGAATGAACTAATTGGAATTCAGTGGTCAAAGGTCAGTGTGACCTCACAAAACATGTTTTTGTCCATAACTGAAGAATTCATTCACTAATTCTGACCTAACTTGACACAAATGTCTAACAGGATAAAATAATGGAGGTCAAAAGGTCAAAGGTCAGCTTGACTGTGACATCATCATGTTTTAACGTCATATCTCAGGAACAGAAGGGGAGACATTTGGTCAGATACTGAATTGGTGACTCTAATCTTGAAACTGTGCTGATTGTATAGATCTTCTGTGTGTGAAGCTTCCATGTTTAGACGATGTAGCTTCTTTGCAGCAACGTCCATATTTGATGCATCGTCAACTGTCGTATGAGTCTGGACGAACATGGACGTAAACTGTAACTGCAACTTGACTGGTTTTCAGGCATACAACATCATGACTGTAATTCTAGTTTATGTTTGTTTTTTTCTGTAATTTGGGTGAAATGAGCCTTTAATCACTGTCTCCTGTATGTGTTTGTGAGAGGGCCGTTTTAAAGACGGCTTAGTATTGGTTGACAGTGTGAAAGTTAAACTTGAGGCTGAGTTGCCCTGTGTGAAGTTATCAACTGGTTGCAGCTCTTTATTAAAATTTATTGATTTCGTAGTTTTATTTATTTTAAGTTTTTTATTTGCGCACGTATTATACAGCAAAAAATCCAAATATCCAATTATCTTATCTTATCTTATCACATGACCATTTTAAATGTAGGTTTGACCATCCATCATCTCATCCATACTGAATTTTCCATATGTGATTATTGTTAGATTAATCTGATAATAAATGTGGGCAGTGAATCTTTGACGACGTCAAAAGGTCAGAGAACCCGCCGTAGCGTCCCAGGTCAACTGGTCAGATGGTGTTGTGAGGGTCGTCCAGCCTCCACCCATTTACAATAAAACTTTTTCTCTGAAGCACACACACTTTCTCTGCTTTCACTTTCCTTTTTTGTTTGTTTTCTATGAAACATCTTGCAGCAGGTTTTTTCCCACCTGAGCTGCAGGCTGGTATTTTCAGTGTCTCTGCTGCCCTGGAATTCATTTCTATTTGTTTCCAGGATGTGAGTGTAATATACATGTCTTTATATAAATAGGTGTGTGCTGACAAGAAAAGCCTCACATGTTGTCCGTTTCCCTTAAACTAAACGAGGGACTCTTCACTCTGTGCATTACTCAGTCGAAACACCTCACACCCAGCCGGGGTATCTGCTTCATGACGTGATTTCCTGTCCTCACCCAGCCTGTCAGTCTCTGCCATTCATCACATTATATCATATCATCTGCAGCACTGCACCAACATCACATCATGTATACATGCTGTATCAGTGTTTTCTTTGTCTGAGATCAGATGAGCTTCATCTGTCCTGTTAACACTATTAACAGTATCGTTCATAAAACCAGCATTCAACCATTTATCTGTTATTAACTGTTACCCATCACATTTAGCTATGTCAGCTCTTTATCGACATTGTTTCTTACTTTTAGCTAACTGGCTAAAGCTAGCAGTTAGCCTGATTTCTGCAGCCTCTGGTGTAAACATCCTTTATGTAGCGCAGAGCAGCGCTTCTTCTATGTTCAGACGAATGAACCGATCTTTGCAGGGCCTTGTGTTCCTGTTCTCCGTACCCTTCTCATGAACACGATATCTCAAGAAATCCTTGAGGGAATTTTTCTTAAAATTTGGCACAAACGTCCACTTGGACTCACTGATGTGCTGATTTTGGTGATCATAGGTCAAAGGTCAAGGTTACTGTGACCTGTTTGTCTGTATCTCAAGACGGCCTTGAGGGAATTTCCTCAAATTTGGTGCAAACGCCACTTGGACTTAAAAATGAACCCATTGGATTTTTATGGTCAAAGGCCAAAGGTCAAGGTCAGTGTAACCTTGTCTGTCTCCTCTTGAAGACACAATCTCTTAGGGACATCTTGAGGGAATTTCTTCACATTTGGCACAAATGTTTACTTTGACTAAAGACTAAACTGACTAGATTTTGGTGGTTTAAGATCAAAGGTCAAAGGTCAGTGTGACCTCATGAAACATGTTTTTGTCCATAACTCAGGAATTCATTCACTAATTCTGACCAAACTTGACACAAATGTCTAACAGGATAAAATAATGAAGGTCAAAAGGTCAAAGGTCAGCTTGACTGTGACATCATCATGTTTTAACGTCATATCTCAGGAACAGAAGGGGAGACATTTGGTCAGATACTGAATTGGTGACTCTAATCTTGAAACTGTGCTGACTGAATTGATTTTTTTTGTGCGTTTTGTATCTTTTATCAAATTCCCTCAAAGTCTTCAGTTCATACGTTACGTGAGTCCGTACGGACGTAAACTGCATTGACTTGATTCAACTCATAACAAATAACAACAGACATCACCAGAGGGGTTTTGTTTTTAGGCTGCTGTACATCTGTACATCCCATTCTCATGACCACAATATATCCAACGCCTTGACGGCATTTTCTCAAATTTGGCACAAACATCCACTTGGACTCAAGAGTGAACTGATTAGATTTTGGTGGTCAAAGATCAAAGGTCACTGTGACCTTGCGTTTGTAACATGCTCGTAAATGCAGATGCAAATCTCCCCTCAAATTTGGCACAAATGTCCACTTGGATTCGTCAAGGTCAATGTGACCTCAAAAAACATGAAGGTGATATCTCCAGAAAACGTTCAGACAGTTTCTTCAAATTTGGCACAAATATTTTGTTGGACTCAACAATGAAGTGATTCGATTTTGGTGGTCGAAGTTCAAAAGTCAAGGTCAGTGTGACCTCACAAAGAGTCAATAGTTTAGGCACAGATTTTGTGCCTAAACTATTGACTGTATTGTTTCATCTTGTCACATGATCAAATACTGTGTTGCTAACAATCATCATCACAGACGTGTATATGACTTGTAAAAAAAAGTCTTGCACACTGTCTAACTTGCAAAAATAACGATTCTAATGCTGCAATATTTCTGTGACGAGACCTTCATTTCATTATTCCTTTAATTGAATTGTTATGTCAACAGCTGGTACGGCAGCCTGAGTGCACAGAGCTAAAACGAGCTCTCCGGGATTGTTAGCGCTGCAGGGAAGGTGATCGGCAACTCTCAGCGATATATCTGACAGTGCTGCACACAGGAAGGCCGAACATGTAACTGCTGATGCAATGAACACAGAATGACTGCATCAGGAAACTACTATTTTTACAAGATGTGCTCTCGCTTACTATTTATGTCACTTATTGCTTCTACCTGCCTGTTTGCACAATCTGTCTGTCTGTCTGTCTGTCTATATCAGTTTTATAGTTTCTGTAGATTTTTTTTTTAAAAAGAGAAAAAGAAAATCATGATGGAGGTCTGAGGGCATATCGCTCACAGCAAATGGCACCATTTTTAATTCAACGTGAGTCGTAGTTCTGAGGTGACAATCTGAATCATCTGACGAGCCCCAGTACAGCTGCACTGTCTGTATTTACGCCCCTGAATCTGACACACTGTGCGGCGTGTTTTAGAAAACTGAGCCTGCAATGAACATGAAACTACAGATTTAAGATTTACATGTTGAGTGGGACCTGATGACCTGATGCTTTCCCTCCAGTGTGCTTCACACTCAAACCATCAGAAATCCCAATAAAACCCCAGATGCAATAGAAAACGCGGGGTTCGTAACGGTTTCCACTGGGTTCCGACGCAGGCTGCTGCATCATTGCGTGCGCTTTCCAGTGGCTTCTACTCCAATGCACTCTGTTGAGCTGCATGAGCATTCAGGCCTCTATTAGAAACCATTAGAGCTCCCAGTATGACCAGTGAAACCATCAACTACATGGAAACCAGGGGGTGCTTTGCATGTCAGCAGAGAGCAGATGATGAAGTGTTTGACATGCATGAGTGGGAGACCCCTCACCCACTTCTATGAAGTTTGGTGATTTAAAGGAAACTGCACAACCACAGTTTTCACACCTAGATCATCACAGCATCACACACACACTCTCTCTCTCTGTGTGTCAACGTCTCTCTGCCCCTTTGCCTCACTCTCTCTCCGAGTTATAAATAAAAGCTTTCATGACAAGTCAAACAGTTTGAGCCAACGTCAGGGCAAGAGGCGCACGGCTGTTACAGAGCCAAGTCAAACCATCAGAACGCCAAATCAGAAGGCCAGGTCAGACCAGCAGTCAGCCAGTGAGACCATCAGAGCACCGAGTCGGACCATCAGAGGGCTGAGTCAGGTACGCAGCGAGACCATCAGACAGTCGGTCAGATCTTCAGTCAGCCTGTCTCCGTCCTGGGCATCGCTCCGTCAGGGATTGAAACAGTCGTCACATCCGGTCCGAACAGGCTTGGGATCAGAACCAGCGACTTTTCGAACAGGGGTGTTATTGTACAAGCAGTGACACAATGGTTGCCACGGTGAGGGCAGTGGTCTGCCTGTCTCTCTGGCTGTCCGTCTGTCAGGTCAGAGGCTCCCACATCCCTCAGGAGATGAACAGAACCATCCAGAACCTCCTGCAGCACTATGTGAGTATCAAACTACTGCTCTTACTACTCGTGCTTTTACTACGGCTGGCGTCAGTATTTGAAGTTCAGTACTTCAAACGCCGCTGCATGTTTTCTGTTTCCTGCTGCTGCCTTCACACTCACCACAAACACACACACACGCGCACACACACTTTTTCCATGTTTGTTTAAAAGACTATTCTGATGTTTTTTTTCCCCCCACGCTTTAGTCCGTTAAAAATCCTTCATCACAATCAGGATTATGAGACAAACTCAACTTTATTTGTTAATGATGTCATAGTCATGTGTCCTGCAGTGGACAGCAGGGATACTTATTCCTTGATGGTGCATTCAGGGACCTCCAACTTTTGAGTTTTAATAGATGGCTGCTGAAAGGAACATTTTTAAAATGTCAGAAACAGAAGCAACAACCGAACTCATGTTGTATTTTAGGACTGACTTTTTTTAGTTTTGGACAACAGAGCTCGTCAGTGAAATGCTTTGCAACAGCTGACACACAAATCACAAACATCTGAGTGTCATTGAACGCACCAATAAGACAGTTGTCATGCAAAAGTCCAGAAGCTTTAAATACAGTGCAATGATTGAAACTCACATCATATTTCTCTCAAATTGTTTGATTATTTGATATCAGATAAATGAGCTGATATGCAAAAATGTCTCTGACATCCCAAATGTCAGAGTGTCCTTGAATGCACCAATAAAAAGTCTATGACAGTATAAAGAAACGACCAAAGGCACATCATTTTACAACAACCTGTTTGATGATTGTCTTTTGTTTTTGATGATCTGAAAACAGGTTAACAACAACAACGTCTCTTAAATCTCAGATGTCAGACTGTCCTTAAACTCACCACATGGAGCACATGTGGCTTCACACATTAATGTTTAACTATATTTGGATTAGATTTTTTGATGACCTATTATAGCTCATCAATTACATGCTTTGCAACTATGTCTGACTGTCCTTGAACGCACCAGTAATTACTGCAATCAAAGAAGTCAAGAAAACATCATTTGTATTTATTGATCTAATGCAACAAAGAACACTGACATCAAATGTGACCTGGATTTTTTTGTCTTCTTACAGAGGATTCCAACAAAAGAGAGATTTAACGGGAAGCCCGTCTTCTCCAGAGAACCACTGACCACCAAGATGGAGGTAAATGAAAGTCATCATTGGAGATATTTAGGCTTTATGCATCTACAAATAGGATCACAGAGTCTCTGTAAAGTCTCTCTGTGTTCAGCTGGTGTTGGGTTGAGTTTTTAAACACGTGATTAATTCTCTTCGTGGCCTTTAACCTCACAGTCTCCTCTCTTTAAACATCTAAAGAAGTATCTATGAAGCACAGAAGATACTGCACAGGCTTCACAGAATGAAACCACTCTCATGTCTGTTAAGGAGCTGGAGCTTGTTAGCTTAGCTTAGCTTAGCACAAAGACTGGATGCAGGTGGAAGCAGTTTGTCTGGCTCCGTCCAAAGTGGAAATAATACACACATATTCCTGACTAATGAACATGTTGTTGTGCACAAACAAAATGTCAACACACTAAATGTGACACAGTAGGTGAGGACTCCTCCGCCAAAAAAACTTCGAGCTTCAAACACTTAAATTTCTGCACTCGGGCCAGTTTTCATGCTCCAGGGTGAAAGTCCTCTGCTTCGTGGTTTAATTGGAGGCTACATATGCACATCTTGTAAACACTGAGAGGAGCGAGTCCTCTGCAGCACTTCCAGCTGTAACGTAGCACATGACTGACTTTTTACATTTCTATTGATGGAAGTTGATGTGAGTTGAGCTAACTTTCCCCCCTGCCTCTAGTCTTTATGCTAAGCTAGGCTAACGACCTCTTTACTCCAGCTCTGTACTGTACAGTTTGATCTTTGCATCCCAACATGCTGACCTCATAACTCATGTGATGTCACAAAGCCAGGAGCATGACGGTGCGTTCAGGTGATTCAGGATGTTTGAATGTTGATTAAAAAATGTTCATAGTGCAGTCAGTTTCACAGTGTCAGTGTACTTCGAGGTGCAGTAGAAAGCGGTGCTTTCCAAGATCTCCTGTTGACCTCTGCCACCTTTGTCGGTGTTTTGATCCCTCACTCAGCAGCAGGCTGGTGTTTTCCTCAGGTTTCTGTCTTGCACGGTGCCGTCTGACACCGTGAACCGAGATCCTTGTGGTTTTTATTTTCCTGCTGGCTCTGCATTGTGCAGCCTTTTGTTTGCAGCCACTCTCAGGCGCTGCATTGAACTTTTACTTTTCACCAGCGATGATAAAAAGCCACTTCATGGTTGGTTTCGAGCACTGAGCGCCAATACAAAAGGAACTTAACCACTTAACACCGACCCAAGAGTCTTTACATGCTGCAGTCTGCAGCGCTGCAGTGTTTGCTGCTCGGTTTGAAGTTTCTGTGGTGAACAAGATAAGATCTATATAAGACTGAGGCGTCGCAGATTAGCTGTGAAGCTGTGGTAGGTGGCATGGGGTCATGCTGTGTAGTTAAATATTAAATAAAATGAATAGAGTCTGAATCATTTTAAGGGTTGGATGTGGAAGTTTTAAACTGGACCTGAACCTGTTCCTCTTCAGCCAAACTGATAATTATATAACATTTCAATATATTAAAAATCAGACTGGGTGCACGCTGTTTTGTTGGAAAATATAATTTTTACTGTGATGCTGTCAGAAACATTGTCATTTATAACGCAGACACGTCAGGTGAGCTGTTGAGTTGAGCTGATTGTGTCGGCACAGTTGTTCCAGCATCAGGGAACCAAAGGTGATCCGGCTCTGGGCCAATGACATTTGGGCTTTTTTTGCCAGTTTGCAGGACTTGGATCAGCATTGTTTGAACCTGTATCTGCACTGTAGTGTTGTCTGGGCCCAAGACTGGCACATGTGTTTGTTGAAAGCTTGCTGAGTGGCACATGTCCTTTGATTTGAGTCACACTTGGGTATTTATGGTGGCACACAGGGCACAGGTTGTTTTATAGAAGGTGGTATTTAGCTCAGACTCAAAGGCCACACACCCCACACACACCTCTGGGGTTTCCCATGTAGTTTTCCCCTCACCTCCACAACACAGGTGTTACATTTCATCAACATTTGAATTTGTTCCAGCGTCCTCCTCTGTGTTTCACCTCAGACGGGTCTGAGGTGAAACACAGTGGTAGGCAGCAGTTTAGTTGCTAAGGATCACATGCCTCCATTTAGACTCAAGAAATCCTGTTTTATGTTCACTGAACTAGTTAACGTTACAAAATTTGTCTTTTACGAGACACGATTTCTTCCGACAACATGCTAACGTTATTAGCATAAGCCTGTGACATTTCCAGGGCATGAGTTAGCCCAGAGGCTGGTGGACAGTTGGGATTTCGGGGCACGACTTCACCTTTTTCCACGTCGCACCAAGAAGGGAAACGACCTAGAGTCAAAACTCAAAAACAACTTAATTGTGAGACCATGTTTTGGCTCGTGGACTTAAACACAAGGACGAGGTTCAGACCTTAAACCTGCCGCGCTCTGACATCCAGTGGGCCTTATACTGTCAGACTTTGTTGACCTTTGACCTCTTGAGTTCAGGCGTCCTTCATGTTAGTGATGTTGAAGTATCACATTCATGTTTCACAGTAAATGAGTGGTGTTTCCCTTTAAGGCCCACTCTGCGCTTAATTTAACTCCTGTGTGGGAAACCACAGAGTTTTCTTTCCACTGAGTAAAAAGGTTTTTAGCACCTTGAGGGTGGTACGAGTTCATCTGAAGACCAGCTCATCTTTTTGCTGCAAAAAGCTGCACTTCTGAAAATGGCCCTATAAGACATGTTTAACATATTTAACTGTTTAGATAAAAGCACTTTAAGTATCACCTGCAAGAAACTAAATGTTGTGTTTGTTTCTCTCTCAGGCTAAGAGAGTGTTCATGGGCGGAGTTTTGGAGGCGTACGAAAAGCTGCTTGGCGAGATGTTGAAGCAGCTGCCCACCCCGAGTCCACAGGTCGCAGGGAACAACCAGCTCCCCGCCTCTGCCGTCACCCCCGCCGCCGGCACTGCCAGCAATGGTGAGGTGGCAGCGGGCGGAGACCTCGGGAAGCAGCTGAGCTACCTCCTGAAGAAGGTGACAGACCTGAGGAAACACCGGTACAACGAGCAGGAGAAGGTTCTGCAGGGACTGAGAGACCTCAAAGACATCCAGGTAAAGACACAGAGACTCAAACTGATTGTCAAACTGTTACCAAGATGTGCAGGTGTAAAGAGGCCAAAGGAGTTGAGCCTCTGAATGCTTTCTGCAGCCTTAAGGTGAAAGCCCAGTTCACACCAAAGATTTGTGACAACACATGACTGTTTTAGAACATTACAGATTTGTGAGCTCTCAGCTCTCCTCAAGCCGACAGAGTTTCAGACCAATGGACAAACCCCAAATTCTTCACCATCTAAGTTTTTGTCTTCATCGTTTCATCGCCACTAGAAATGCAGCTGTAGCCACTGTCCTCGTTCATATTTTAAGAAACTCTGAATTATATGAAAGTTTGGTAGGAAGTACAGAGAGTTGTTGCCACGGAGCCGATGCAGCGTCTCGTCTAGTCATGCTGGTGTAAACGATTTTCAGACGATGCACAGAGCATCGCAGCAAGTTTCAACTCATCTCATTGCGAATCTTTGGTCTGAGCTGGGCTTTACGCTCTGAAGGGAACGATTTTCAACCTGGTCTGCGTCACCTCAGTATGTGCAGATGAATGGTGTTCAAATGGCGCCAGTGCTCCCTGCCCGTCCGCTGGCCAAAATCCACCGACAGATGCAGAACGTGTTGGTGGTTATGTAAATTTCTTGCTCCAGAGATGAGCGAGGAGTTGCAGGGGCCGCTCATCTGCACTCTTTGCCCACACCACAGTGACTCAGACCAGGTCGAAAGGCGTCAAAGTATGCATATAAAATACAGAGTGCTGAGCAGCGGCCTGTGTAAGGTCTGAAGTGAGGCACCTTAAAGGTTTTGTAGGGGCTGAAATTAACAGGTTTATGAAGTGCACGAGGGCCTTAACGTAAGGATCATAGAGGGTTTAAAATGAGTCTTATAAGAGTTGATGTTGGGCTTACAGTTGGACCGAGACTTATGGAAAAGTTGTGGAGGGCTGATGGATTTCGTAGAAGGCTTAGAGCATTGTTAAGGGAAGGTGTATACAGTCCTTAAAGTTAGTTTAAGGGAGGTTTATGGGGCCTTACAGAGAGAGTTATGTAGGGCTTGTGAGGGGTCTATGTGGGGCTTAAACTCAGGCTTATCAAAGGTTTTTATAGGTGAATGAGAAGCTTATACAGTGAGTAAAGGTAGGCTTTTATAAAGGTTATTCAGGGGCTTACCAAAGGCGTAAAGTAAAGCTTGTGGAGGGTTTATTTGGGGGTGTACAGCAGCCTTTAAGTCAGACTTATGGAAGCTTAAAATAAGCTGTGTGCGTAGGACTGTCATAAAAAAGTAAAGCTTAAAGTAAGGTTTAAGTGGAGTTTATTCAGGGGCTAAAGTAAGTCATTTCACAGAGCTCCGTGAAGCTTCCATGAACTTCACTGTAAGGCCGACTACACTCTTTGCACACGCACATAATCCTCCAGAGACCAAAGTTATTTAGACGTTTTACTGAAGGTTTAACATTGTCATGTTTCTCTCCCTCCTCCAGATGGATAACCGTGTCGTCCAGAGCAAAGCATTGTGGGAGCTGCCGTGGCTGTACGAGGAGGCGAGCTCCCTGTCCAACATCCAGAGGGAGAGAAGGAGGCGGCGACGGCAAACACGAAGGGTCAAAACTCATCAGAGAGCCTGAAACACCAGGAAAGACGTCAGCAGTGACGGCGACGAGGGTGTTTAATGACAAATCTGAAGGGATAAAATAACATGAGAAAGCAAAAATATCCAAATATAAACCAGCGTGCCAAGTTACTCTTTTTACTTTTAGAAATTATTAAAGAGATTATTTATATATAAAAACATATTTATTACAACAACAGTGAACCAGCAGCCTAAGCCTCATAGAGATTGTCGTTTTGTAGAAGTCTTTTGTTTTTTAAGGAAGTTTGGAGCTCGATACTTGAAAGCAGCGTGATCCTGTGAAATGTTTATGATAAGTGGTCGTATTTAATGTGGAGCTGAGCTCACTTTATCAATCACAATATTGATTGTTTATCACCTGGAAATACTTGATGTTTTGATTCTTATCTATTTAAAAACGTCAGATAATTTAATGCTCCTAAAATCAGCTTGAATATTTAACTGTCAGTGGCTCAGGTTTAAAATGAAGCTAAGTATTGTTACTGATGTGGAACAGAGTGCACCAGAGATACATACTGACAGTGTAATCTGATTACTCAGGTCCAGCACTGCAGTACAGGTACTCTGCAGCTGTGGTAGAAGTTTTTGTATTTTACTGATATGTACTTTCCTATATTTATTTTAATATTTAAGGAGTCTATTTAATAATCGTACTGCTGTGACTTATTGTTGATTATTTATTGATTGTATTTATTGATTGGCACTTGCAGACAAATGCAACTGAATAAAGCACAGTGAACTTTATGTTATGATTCCTGTCTTGATTATTTTCAGATGATAACGTGCATTTTGTTATTCTTTTATTGACTTACACTAAATGTACTGACTTAGTTTTCATTTTTCTGAGATGGAGAATCAAGATTTGTTGACTCTTGGGTGACTGTCTTGCAGCAAAGACATTTTTGTGTCAGTTTTGTGTGTATTCAGCTGAAGGAAGTTGAGACTACAATCAATCTGCGTCAAGGTCACATGACGCAGAATTTAAAAACAAATCAAAAGCTTCGAGCTCCTGAATCCTCTGAATATTCTCTTCTTTGTTTAAATCATGATTAACTCCTTCTCAGTGTGACCCAGCCTTTAAAAGTGAGCTGAGGCGACAGTGGCTGATGTTGGCAGACGGAGCCCCTCCTAAACATCCCGTCAGTGCATTTCAATCTGCCAACATGTCCATCCTTCCTTCAGTGGACTGCAGGCGGGCGGCTGTGCAGCAGCACCCAGATGGCGTCACATCATTACACTACCACGGCCGCGGCAGGAGGAGACCGTCAAGATGAGATTGGGTGAAACAGACAGTCGTTGTGTTGTGCTAATTGTGCTCTGATAACAGTAAATTATCAAAGTGCCATTCTGCTGTTCTCCAGACTTCTGGCTTCAATCTTGTTGCTATGGTTATGGATTAACGTTACGTGCGAAGAGCGTCAACCATTAAACAGAAAGTAAAAATTTTAAGGACACTAACTGTGTCTCAGTTCAGGGGCTGCAGCCTTTAAAGATCGCATCGGCCAAACCGAACGGTCTCTAAATGGGACGGTCTGGTCTGGCGAGGATTTCCTGGTTGCATCACCAATTGTAGTCACCCTGACCCATTGGCATTCCTGTTGCCTAGCAACCAGCTGCGCTTGATGAAAGGAGGAGTAAGCTAGTAAGTTAGTTAGCCCTAAATCATGGGCCCAGAGATTTTTAATATATATCTTTCTTTTTTTATTTTAATACCTGAGGAGATGATTCACCACCGGAGACACTGCCGCCTGATAAACTTGTTAAATGAAGATTGTTTAAGCTGTGTGCTTTTATCTAATAGTGATGTTAACAACTGTTAGTTCACTTAATATTTAATATTTAATTGTTACCGAGGTGCAATGCATCTTGGGATAGGCTGAGCCACAAAGGATTCATACGTTGCATCCTCCAAATTCTGGGAAGAAGGCTGCATTTCTCGGCCGCTGATGTGACGCAATTGTTCTTCAAATGCAGTCTTTGAAGGCTACAGCCCCTGGACTGAGACACATAAAAGGAAAAAGTGGAAATTTGAACATCTTCAGTTCCATGACGACTGTCCAAGCTTGTACGTTTTAATCACAAGCTCCAGAGGAGCAACTGTGACCTTAAGTTGAGATGGTTTTTGTTTTTTTGTTTTTTCAACTGTAGTGTCCAAGGTCAGGGGTCAGGTTTGAACATTATGCGGTATATTTTGGTGTCATCTGCATATAATAAGATCTGTTTTGTATAATTCTTTTATTCATAAGTTGTAAAATGGTGTCATGTAGATGTGAAATAAAAGAGGCCCAGTGATCGAGCCTTGAGGAAGTGCACATCATTTTGGGCCATTTGTGTGCAGAGTTGCCAAGCAAGACAGAGAAATTAGCACATGCTCCACTGACTGTACAGTTCTCAGCGCCATCTTGTGGCCTTCGTTTTGTTAATGAATCCCACAAGTTGCAGGGTTCCCACAGATTTTCACTGGAAAATGTGATACTGAAATCGTGGATCCCTGAAGATGTGTCTGAAACTGAAACATCTCCAGAAAGTGGACGTTGTATTACAAGTGATTATTTCCAAGATTATTAATAAACCTTCGAGTTCCAAAGACAGGATGTGAGTCATCCTTTCAAAGTAAAAATATAATGAAACAACGTAAAGAGAGCTGTGCACTGAAAATTCTACTTAAGTAAAAGTACAAAAGTGTGATCAGCTAAAGTCAGCAGTAGAATGTCTCCTGTGACTGAGGTCTGATATTATAAGTTAGTTTAACAGTGAAGCATCAGTGTTGGAGCAGCATGTTTCTGTTGTTTCTGCTGCAGGTGGAGAAAGTTTGAACTACTTTATTACAGCAGGTAGTTCAGTCCAGTGGCTCCCAAGCTTGGGGTCGGCCCCTCCAAAGGGTCACTGGATACATATGAGGGGTAATGAGCTGATTAATGGAAAGGAGAAGAAGAAGAAATCAACATCTTTTTTGCTTATTGTAAAATTTGGGATAATTTGACCTCTACGGGCCTCAAAGTGTTATTTAAAGAGGAACTGAACGTCTGGTCACAAGTCAAAAAGGTTCGAAAAACGCTGGTTTAATCTTTAACAATGTGTTGTAACTTATTCGCATATCATTTATGTTTTATGTAAAATAATCTGCAAAGTAATATTACATCATAGAAATACCAAAGTAAAAGTACTCACTCTGCAGAATGGCCCTATTCAGAATAATATGTATAATGTATGATTAATGTATTAATGCATCAACAATAATTGCTGATGCATTAATGTGTTCATCTCTTTAATGCTGCAGCTGGTGAAGGTGGAGCTCATTATAATGACTTTATTTACTGCTGCGTAGTTTAATCTGTAATAATACCTCATCATTCATTATCAATTATATTTTGTATTAATAACCTGAATCTTTAAAGTAACTAAATGTATTAGAAAAAGTAGTGCAGTAAAAAGTGAAGTATTTCCCTCTGAGATGTAGTGGAGAAGTAGGAAGTAGAAGGGAAATAGAAATACTTAAGTGGAGTATAATATTTGAGTAAATGTGCTGAGTCACTCTCCGCTGGTGTTAAAGGGTCACAAACTGACGTATAAATAAAATGACAGATATTAAAACTGTAACACAGAGAAGACGAAACGTCCCCAGACAGACTGCAGAGGCTCAGAGACGTTGATCCTCTGCAGGCAGGCGGGTCGGGGTATTTCTGCAGCTGCAAAAACTCAGACCACCACCCTCCCTCCAACCCACGGCTGTGATGTCACTTCCTGTGACATCACTTCTGGTAAATGGCAGGTAGCCTTCTTTTACTGTAACTGTGCAGCCCCTTTACCCACAATGCATTGCTCTGTGAGGTTGTGACTTCTAAGAACCCGAGCTGTTATTTTCCACAGCAGCTTGAGAGCAGAGCTGTGTGTTGTGTGTGTGATCAATAAACAGTGTGAGAGCGACCTCATGACCGTCACACACACTTATAGATCACAAACTCAAAGATTTATTAGTTTGTAAATCATTTCTAAAAAAGGAAATTGTTTGTTTTTGTCACTTGACTTTGTGTAGGTTTGTGAAACTTCCTCAGAGAGAGAGTGGAGCCAACATCAAGTGTCATTCTGCACATTTATTATTGTCAACAGCTCTCATTACAAAACCAAAACCAATAATGTTAGTCAGTTAAACACCAACTTTAATCATGCAAACAGGAGGAAATAGTGCATATTTCTAATGGCGGATTCGTGCCACTGAATGTGCATGTTTTTAGTGACTGTTGGCTGCATCTCCAGTTGCATTTGTGCCACTGAATGTGCATGTTTTTAGTGACTGTTGGCTGCATCCCCAGTTGCGTTTGTGCCACTTAATGTGTGTTTTTAGTGACTGTTGGCTGCATCTCCAGTTGCGTTTGTGCCACTGAATGTGCATGTTTTTAGTGACCGTTGGCTGCATCCCCAGTTGCATTTGTGCCACTGAATGTGCATGTTTTTAGTGACCGTTGGCTGCATCTCCAGTTGCGTTTGTGCCACTGAATGTGCATGTTTTTAAGCGATCGTTGGCTGCATCTCCAGTTGCGTTTGTGCCACTGAATGTGCATGTTTTTAAGCGATCGTTGGCTGCATCTCCAGTTGCGTTTGTGCCACTGAATGTGCATGTTTTTAGTGACTGTTGGCTGCATCCCCAGTTGCATTTGTGCCACTGAATGTGCATGTTTTTAGTGACCGTTGGCTGCATCCCCAGTTGCATTTGTGCCACTGAATGTGCATGTTTTTAAGCGATCGTTGGCTGCATCCCCAGTTGCATTTGTGCCACTGAATGTGCATGTTTTTAGTGACCGTTGGCTGCATCCCCAGTTGCGTTTGTGCCACTGAATGTGCATGTTTTTAAGCGATCGTTGGCTGCATCCCCAGTTGCATTTGTGCCACTGAATGTGCATGTTTTTAGTGACCGTTGGCTGCATCCCCAGTTGCATTTGTGCCACTGAATGTGCATGTTTTTAAGCGATCGTTGGCTGCATCCCCAGTTGCATTTGTGCCACTGAATGTGCATGTTTTTAGTGACCGTTGGCTGCATCCCCAGTTGCGTTTGTGCCACTGAATGTGCATGTTTTTAAGCGATCGTTGGCTGCATCTCCAGTTGCATTTGTGCCACTGAATGTGCATGTTTTTAGTGACCGTTGGCTGCATCCCCAGTTGCGTTTGTGCCACTGAATGTGCATGTTTTTAAGCGATCGTTGGCTGCATCTCCAGTTGCATTTGTGCCACTGAATGTGCATGTTTTTAGTGACTGTTGGCTGCATCTCCAGTTGCGTTTGTGCCACTGAATGTGGGTATTTTAAGACAAATCCCGATCTTTTCCTAACCATAACCAAGTGTTCTTGTGCCTGAACATAACCACACGTTAACTACAGCATTGTTAGTAACGTAAAGTTTCAACATATCTGATGCACAATAACGCACAAATATTACATATCAAGGTTTTGTAGAAACGAAGACGCCAACATTTTTTCTAGTGATGTAAAAAGTAGCTGGAAACTGTGCGTGTCAAATGTAGTGGAGAGAAAATGTCAATACTTCCTTGAATGTAGTGGAAGAGCAGTAAAGGTGACGAGATGGAAATACTCCATGTAATTCTGTTCCTCTGCTGGTGTTTGAGTCGGCAGGACAGTGTGTGTGTGGGATTAACTCTGAATGAACCACAGTGTGTGTGTGTGTTTATGGCGATGAAGGAAGATGGCCGCCGGTCACAGTGTGGTTCACTG